CTCTATGCCAGGCACCATCTAAGCCCTCAGCATGCATTACCTGGTCGAATCTTCATAGCAAGCCCATGATGTGTCACTATTCACCTCCATATTACAAATTATTAAAAAAACTTGCATCCCTTCAAGTGGCACCTCTGGGGAAGGGAGACACGAGGAAGAATGCATTGGACAGAACTGGACCTGGGCAAAAAGGAGCACCTGCCTCATACACAGGCCAATCCAGATCACCAGGGTAAAACACTCCATAGCGATTAGGGGTTAAATCTCTAGTTGCTGACAGAAAGTGATTTTGTGCGACCTTATCCTCAGTGTGTCCATCTCCTCTGGCAACATGTGGCAGTGGTAGACAGTTGATAGTAATACTGAGATCTGGGATCCTGGCCAGCTTCCTATTTCTCTCCATCAAAAATATGGTCAACATCTGGCAGCATCAGCAAATGTCAAAATGAATGAGTCTCCACTAATTCATATGTTACAAACTGGATTGTCAAAACTGGTCAAATTCCATTACAGAATTATAGTTCAGCTGCACTGAACACTACATACATATGAACCATTAGGTAGGACTCTGAAATCTCTTCACTCCATGGAAATTTCTATTCTGGTAGTACTTGTACAAGATTTGATCTTTATCGCACTTTTCCTGGCAGCAGTAAAATTCCATTTCTATCAACTCTGTTTCCTCTCGGGGAAGAAGTCTCTCAGGAAATACTCAAAACATTGTTCTCAACAAAGTTCTCAAATATGAATCATTTTCAACTGCCAGGAAAAAACTCCTACCCCCACTGTTTTGCATCATAATATACATTCTCTAAAATTACAGTTTTGGGGCAAGACAATTATTTGAGAAAAAGAAAAAAATTCTTCATTCTTCCCCCTCTATGGCTTTGCTCAAGCAGTTTGCTCTGCCTCAACTATCTTCTCCCTTCAATCTGCTTGTCTAAGTCCTACTAACTCATTCATTCATTCAATAAATGTTTCTTGAGCACCTACTCGTTTTTCAGATAGTAGCGGTTCAAGTCAGTTTACTAGGACTTTGCTAGGCAGAGATTAGGGGATGATCATTGTAGGCAGTGGGACCATCATGTGACATGCCGCATATTTCCTTCAAGGAAGTTTCCCAGAGAGGAACCATTTAAAGCTGGCCCTTTGAGGACAAGCAGGAAGAATTAAACGGAAGAGGGAAGGCATTTCTGGAGGCTCAGAGGAAGGTCTCTGATGACAGGGAACGGAACTGAGCTGCTACCTCAAATTCATCCTAACGTTTGTGCTTCCAGTGGGTTGCACCTAGCCGATGACTGAGTACAGCAGGGTCAGGACTGGACTGACCACTGACTTCAAACTCCCCAAAGGCTTTTCTGAACCTTCCTTCAACTGCACAGCAGTCCAGAGAGCTTTGGCCTAAGCTACTCTCTCTCCTCTTCACCAGGGGTCAGACTTGCATCATGGACTGTTTGGCACTGCCACCCTTCCCATCTATCTCCCTCCCTAGTGTCTCTCACGCAGGTGGTTGGTTACAAAATCCTTGCCTGTTTAATCCTAAATTTCTGCTTCTCAGAGGACCCAGACGAACACAGCATTCTAGACAGAGGGCCCAGCATGAGTAAACACCGAGAGGCATGAAAAATCATGACGTGCTCTGAGCACCTGGAAATACGAAGATTTTTACCTTTACACCCTTGCTTCTCCTACTGCATAATAATAAAGCCTAGCTACCATTTATTGAACAAATCCTCTAAAAGCCAGGCATTGTTTGAGCCCTCAGCATGCACCACCTGGTTGAATCCTCACAGCAAGCCCATAATGCAGGTGTCACTATTCATCCTCATATCACAAATGAAGAAACTTGCATCCTTTCAAGTGACACTTCTGGAGAAACGAGACATGAGGGAGAATGCATAGGATGGAATCGGACCTGGGCAGAAAGGACCGCCTGCCTCATACATAGTCCCACCCAGGTTACCAGGGTACTGAGATTTGGGATCCTGGCCGCAGGGGTGGGTATAGAGGGAGAAGCTGGGTCACTTCAGAGAAGCCCTTTTCCATCCTGATAAGAAAGTCTGACCCAGTCCCCTGAGAAACAGGGAATCCCCAGAAAGTTTCAAGCAGGGAAAGGCCATGTGTTTTAGAAAGACTGTTCTGCTGGCAGCATGGAGGATGTACTGCAGGAAGCTGAAACGGAAGCAGCTCTATGCAGGCTTCCATCTTGTCTGCTAGCCTGTGAGGTCCTAAGTGTGGAATATTTTTTGTTTCACTCTAATCTCTATGCCCCTATAAAGATTAGAAATAAGTGTTTAACACAAAGTAACCACTCAAGAGGCCGCGTCAGATCTACCACACTGGGCTTCACCTCACTGCCAAACATTTTAATTAAGACCACCAGAAAGTTTAATGACCAGCCTTTGAACATTGCTGCCTGGACACTGGAACTCTCTGTCGAGCCAATCTAGAAAGGGAAAGTTACACATATGAAAGGTAGAAATTACTTCCAAAATCTTATCTCCCACCAACTACTTATTTCATGAACTCTCTTTGAAGCTAAGTAATCACATTTGTTGATACTAATTGTGGGGACAAAGGTGGTCATTAAACATTTAGTTTTTGAGTGTTTACCAGGTCAGTGACGTTTAGAGAGCCAGATCAGGCCCAAGGCCCAGCGGTCTTATGCAAAGAGAACTGGGCAAAAAGCAAAATTGATTTCTGGACACTGACACAGTATCTGATGGTGATCTCTGGGAAAACATATCCCTAAATTCTATTTTTCATCACAAAATAGAAATAAGCCCTACCCTCATTAAGGTGGAAATTAAATTAGAAGATGTGGTCAAAGTGATCTGAAAATAGCAATATGTAAAATGCTGTATTTTCATTTAAAAATTTGCTAAGAGGGTAGCTCTCAAGTTAAGAGTTCTTACACACACACACAAATAAATATGAGGGCAGGAGGAGACTTGGAGATGATGGATATGCAAATGATCCTGATTGTGGTGATGGTTTCAGGGGTATATGCATCTGTTCAAACCCGTCAACTGTTTACATTAAATATGGGCAATATTTTGTATAACAATCACACCTCAATAAAGCTTTTAAAAAAAAAAAAAGACTAGCGACTACCAATTCTGATTTGCAACAAGGGATGGTGTGATATTAACCAAAAATTTTCAAAATACAATTCATTTTCCTTTACTTTCATCTGTCAAGCAGCACTTTTCAGTTGAAAGGTTACTGCTGGGAAATCAACTAATAACGAGAATCAATTCCCAGAAGGCTATGGGTTGCTGCAGCTGGAGCCAACAGCCCTCCTAAGGTCCTGGACACTAGAAAGGTCATTTGATGATGGCCTGATGGCCTTTCTCAGACTCGGTCTTTTTTCTTATTGCTACCTCCTGACTTGACTGACGAAACACAGAAGCTCTTAGGCCCTATTTGTGATAACCAAAATAACCTTACCAAAAAAAGAAATCATTACCTCCAAACAGCATGAAGTGGTTTGTGTCAGAGAAGAGAGTTTCAATGACTCAGAAACTGTCAGATCTGCGTGAGCTAAGGGACTAAAGCTATCAATGTTGGTTGCCCGTGTGAAATGAAAATGGCATCTCCAGTCCTCTGGGCTGAGACACCCACTTCCAGACCACACACACAGACACACATGCACACACTCAATTCCAGAGCCCAAAGGATTTAGCAGTAAACGTTTTAAATCAAATTTGCAAGCTGATTTAGTAAATTGGTGTTGCTTTGACTTAGAAAGGAGGTAAGTAAAAAACAGGAAACTTAAGTCCATTTTTTATAAAAAGAAACTTGCTCTAGGCTATTTTGGCAAAAGAACTAAACAGACAACTACAGAAATCATTTTCCAAACCCAAATTAATTATTTCCAGTTGTAAAGTGCTTAGTGGTAGGAAATCAATAATGATGATAGTAGTGAGCACCATTATATTGAGCACATTCTATGTGCAAGGTACTTTAAATGTATTATCTGTGTTTCTCATAACAACCCGGGTTAATATTCTACATTTCATATTTTTAAAAAATGAGTCAGAGAGAGACAAATGTGCCACAAATCAAGTAAATGGCAGAGCTGAGAAGAAAATCATGATATCTAAAAAGCCCCGATTTTGAGATGGCAATGAAAGGTGTATGAATGAAAAGTACTGCCAGCCATATCAGTTAACAATGATGCCGCCATCAAGCCATTAGCCACTACTGCCACACACACCCCCACCCCTTCCAGTGAGGGGAGGGAACTCAGGATGGAGACAGCCTCTGCTGCCACCCCCAACCATGCACCCTGAGGGAAATCAGGATGTGGGAGAACAGGAACCTGGCCCTAGATAGCTAGGTGCACATCAAAGGCATGATTTCAATGAGCCCAGACCTTTGCACCTTCCCACACATAGAAAATCACTAAATTCCTTAATTTGAGATATCTGGTTTTCTTTAATTAACAGTAATCTCTTAATGTTCTGACTACCTGATCTTTGTTGTAAAAACTCCTCAACATCCTGGCTCCTCCCGTCACTTTGGAACAGTCTTCTAGAGCGATCTGACAGGCTCCAGTCCTTAGAAAGTCTGCCGAATAAAACATAACTCTCAACTTATAGGTTGTGCACTGTATTTCAGTCCACAGGTGGTAAAACATTTCTCCCTTTCCTAATCTCAATCTCTCCTCCACCCTCCCCGTCGTCTTCTGTCTCATCCCCTACACCTCGCCACATGCACGCAAGGTCATTCCCAGAGAGGGGCATTAAAAATCTAGTGGACTGATCATGGGTTTTTACCAAAATAAACCTGCACTTAAATTCTGATGGTGCCATTTACTAGCTCCAAGACTTCAGTGGTACAAATTACTTGTTGAACCTCAGTTTCCTATTAAGATTAAATTAAATAAACACACACATTGCCTAGTACAAAGACATTCACTTATTGTTGCCTTTCCTTTTACTCTCTTGATAACCTAAAGACCAAATGAAGATGAAGAAAAGCGCTCTACCTGTACTGTGTCATAGGCAAGGTTAGCACTTCCCTTAACAAGGATGGAAGTGGTTCTAGTGACCTATAAAACACAAATATAGTTAAGGAATTGCCAACAACTTTGCAGCACCTAACCACGATTTTTATTCATAAAATAAAAGAGAATAATATAAAATAGTCATATGGGATTAGCCTAGGAATGCAAGGTTGGTTCAACATTCTTAACTCAAACAGTGCCATTCATAATATCAACAGCCCAAGGAAGAAAATTCATGACTATTCGTACAGATGCAGAAAAAGTGTGATATTCATTCAACAGCCATTCATGATTTTTAAAAATACTCAGTTAACTAGAAACAGAAGGAAGCTTTGTCAGCCTGAAAAAGAGTATCTATGAAAAACCTACAGCTAACTCATACTCAATGGTGAAAAATTGAATGATTCTGCCCTAAGATCAGGAACAAGGCAAGGAGGAATCTGCTCTTACCATTTCCATTCATCAGCATGCTGGATGGAAGTCTTGGCTAATGCAGTAAGGTACAGAAAATAATAAGAATAGAAAAAATTGGAGAGGAGAAAAAAATTGTCTTTATTCATAGAAAACGTAATTATCTAAGTAGACAATTCAAAAGAATCTATAAAAAAATACTAAATAATAAGTGACTTTAACAAGGATAGAAAATAAAAGATAATCATAGAAAAATAAATTTTATTTTTATATACAGCAGTGAACAAGGGGCTGAAATTTTTATAAGCTCCATTTGTAGTAGCACCAATAAATAGGCAATACTCAGGAATCAATCTAACAAAGTACTATTAGACTTACATGTTGAAAATTACCAAAAACAAACAAACAAACAAACAAAACCAGTGAGAAAAATCAAAGACATAAGTAATTGAACTGGTATACTGTGTTCATGGATCAGAGGACTCAATATCACCAATATTGCAATTCTCCCTCAAAATAATTTATACATTCAATTCAATCTCAATTCAGCATTTAATTCAATGTTCAATAAGATCTAAGCATGCCTTTTTTTGAGAAATTTACAAGGTGGTTCTAACAGTTATATGGAAAAATAAATAATGTAAGATAACCAAGGCAATTTTGAAAAAGAAAAAGCTGGAGGACTCAAACCAACCAACTTTAAGACTTACTATAAAGATACACTACTTAGGATATTGAGATATTGACAAAAGAATAAACATATGATCATTGGAACAGAAATTGATGCATACGTATAGAGGCACACCTCAGAGAATACTGTGGGTTTGATTCTAGATCAATGCAATAAAGCGAGTATTGCAATAAAGCAAGTCACATCAATTTTTTAATTGCTCAGTGCCTATGTAAAAGTTACATTTACATTATACTGTAGTTTATTCAGTGTACAATAGCATTATTTCTAAAGAATCAATGTACATACCTTGATTAAAAACTACCTTTATTTTTATTGCTAAGAAACACTAACCATCATCTGAGCCTTCAGCGAGGGGTAATCTTTTTGCTGGTGGAGTTTAAAATACTATAAAAATTACCAAAGTGTGACACAGAGACATGAAGTGAGCAAATGCTGTTGGAAAAATGGCACTGATAGACTTACTTGACACAGGGTTGCCACAAACCTTCAATTCATAAAAAACACAGTATCTGTGAAGCACAATAAAGTGATGTACAATAAAACAAGGTCTGCCTGTATATGATAAATTGACTTTTGACAAAGATATGAACTTAATTCAATAGACAAAGGATAGCCTTTTTGTCTTTTAACAAATGATGCTAGAACAATGGGACATATCTATATTCAAAAAAATGAATGTCCACCCAAACATCACCCTAAACATATAACTTGAAATGGATCATAGACTGACATATAAAACCTAATGCTACAGAATACCTAGAAAAAAAAAGAAGCAAGTCTTCATGATCCTAGATCTGGTAATTATTTCTTATATAGGACAGAAGCATGAACCATAAAAGAAAAAATTGATAAATTGCATTTCATCACAATTTAAAATTTTGCTCTTTGAAAGATAGTAAGAAAATTTAAAAATAAATAGACAAGCCACAGACTGGAATAAAAAATGGTACAGTCATTTTGAAAAACAGTTTGACAATTTCTTATAAAATTAAACACACATCATAAAATCCAGCCATTCCACTCCTTGGTATTTACCTAAGAGAAATAAAAGTATATGTCTACACAAAACCTGAAATACAAATATTTACAGCAACTTTATTTATAACTACCAAAAACTTTAAACTATCCAAATGTACATCAATTGGTGAATGGATAAACAGATTGTTGTACCTTCATATAGTGTAAATCTACTCAGCAACAGAAGGCAGTAAACTACTGATAAATTCAACGACACAGATGACTCAAAAGCATTATGTTAAGCAAAATAAGCTAGACTTGAAAAACTACATATTTTGATCTCATTTATATGAAATGCAGGAAATAACAAAATATAGAGACAGAAATCAGAGCAATTGTTGCCAGGGTTTGGCAATATAGGGAGGAGACTGACTACAAGGGAGCATGAGGGAACACCTTGGGTGATAGAAAATTCCTTTACATGATTTCAGTGGTGGCCACACACTAATTTTGTCAAAATTCATAGATTTGTATATGTCTAAAAAGGGTGAATTTTACCGTATGTAAATTATGCCTCAATAACCCTAAGGAAAAATGCCTACCATCTCAGAAATGGCCAACTATTTTAGGCAGAGATCTATATCTTATCAGAACTCAAAGTGCTGAGTTTTGATTTTAAGATCCGATTAAAGAACAGGAAGACAGGGAGGGCAAAGTTCATGACAGTTTTGTGTGTCTTGCACTATTCAATGACATAATTGTGTAAAAAAGGGCTCTAGTAAGGTGATAAATGTATAATTTAGGACCAAAATACCCTATTTGCTATTCATTTGAAACAGATCAACTTAAAATGATAAATGGCCACTGTCCTTACCAGTGGTTTGAGTTTCTGGCTGACTCATTCAAAGGATTGCTTAATAAGATAGGAACTTGCTCAAGTACTAATTGTCCTTACTTTATAACCGTTCTGATTTACCAGAGCAGGAAAGGAAAGAAGCATTTTCACTGTGTAATTGCTTTCTTTTGATTAGAGTTTTGAAGAGACACAGTAGAAACTTATCTTGGCAGCAGGGGCTACAGGGTGGGAGGTGAAGAGTTGTCCAGACCCCTACAAAGGGCCTTTCTCCCTGTTTGGCAGGCTGTTCAGTGATAGCTGCAGGCAGGTGTCTAGTAGTGGATAAGCCAGCGAGCATGGTCCTAGGTTGTCAAGGAACCATGGTCAAAACAGTGGTAGGTATCTTTTAAGTAGCATTCTCAGTGCTCCAAGAGAGACCTAAAGTGAAAAACAGACTACAGAAGACTTGTCTTCATTTCTTTGCTCATTTACTTACCCATTCATCCAACAAATATTTATTGACTGCTCATTCGACGCCAGTCTCTGTGTGAAGGTTGAAGACATAGAGACAGCCTGGTCTAGAGTAGTTTATAATCTTTTGGTGGCAGGGATGGGAGTGTGTAAGGTGCAATAGAAGCCAACGGGTCGGAGTACACCTTAAGGGAAAAGGAAAGTTAGAAGTGTGATTTATTCCTCCTTATGTACCATTTTTCCATCAGGCTTTCAGTGCCCCAGAGTTCACCATGAAGACAAGACTGGCAGTCATTCTAGGTAGCAGGAACAACATATGCAATGGAAGTGTGAGTAAGTACAATGTAGCAACAAAACTGCATGATGTTTTGGGGGTACTGAAAGCCTGATGAAAAATAGTGTGTATGAGACTGGAGGGGTCGAGGGCTTTATAAGTTGTGCCAAAGAGGTAGATGTCAGTTTGTGGGGTAGCCTATTAACAAAGGAGAAACAAACCAAGATTTGCATTTAGAAAGATGATTCCAAGGGCAAGTCAAGTACAGACAGAGGCAGAGAGGAGATTCCCCTCTCTCTTTACCGAGTAGCTGAAAAAGGTGGTGGTAGACTAGAAAGTTGATGTTAACTGGAGTGGCAGAAAAAGCTCCTCCATGAAATCAACCTTTAGTCATGCAGAAGAAACGATCCATTCTCTTACCCACTGCATGTCTCTAGCCAGCAACTGTGTTTACTTCTCTACCTCCCACTAGAGTAGCAGCTCCTCAAGGACAAGAATGGTCTCTCTTTCTCTCACACACACACATATCCCCAGTGTCTGGTTAAAAGCAGATGTTCAGTAACTGTGTTGACTGAAAAAAAATGAATGAATTAAATAAATGAATGGATTGATAGTTCTGGGCCCAAGAAGCCAGTAGAAAGCTGTTGAAAAATGTGACTGATGGGTTATTTTGGGATTTGGTAAGCTACTGATCACAGGGAAAGTTGAACTAGGTGTCTTTGAAAGTCTCTTCCAATGCTAAGATTTTATGATTTGAGGCCACTCCCTGTGAAACTAACAAGTGGCTAAAAGGGGTACATGTGAGATTTGCTCTAAGGAAAGACCAAAAAAAAAAATCCAATAAAAAAAGTCAAGGAGTGAGTTTATAATATCAGGAAATAGCAAATTAAGGCAACTAAAAGCTGACAGATTTTTATAAAGAGAATGGAAATCAGTGATTGTCATAATTAAGCTTCTGAAAGCAGGCAGCATGGCAGATCAAGCCCTGTAGACTACACAGATCCCTTTATATTGGAGGAAGGGAATGTCAGGTGCTTGAAGATGTACCCAGAAGCAAGCTCTGAGAGGAAACCCAAATAGGCAAGAGTGTATAATTGGAAAAGGAGAGTGGGCAGCAACAGGCAGAGGTCCAGGTAGGTGATCAGTGAGCATCAGGATACTCGGCAAGGAGAAAGCAGACAGAACACGGCAACAGGTATACCTGGTAGAAAGCAGTTAGTCAGTGAGTGTCAATGACATCAAGAATGGTTAGCAAAGCCCCAAAGACAGGCATGGGTCCAAGCAGAGTGCAAGTTCCTGAGAGGCCAGGCTACAAGAAAGCACATTTTTACCCTTGGAGCAACTGAGATACCAACCACTGTACCCAGACATGGATGGACTTGGAGGGCATTACGGTAAGTGAAATAAGTTAGAGAAAGGCAAATACTGTATGATATCGCTTATATGTGGAATCTAAAAAATACAACA